ACCTTCATTATGTTTATTAGTGACTATACTCTATATGACCAAAGTGCTTTAGCTATATACTTGTCCAAACTTCCCACTACTACAGATATCAGTATTAGAACTCGCCGCACAATACAGGATATAAATTACCACTATTTAAACCTACAAGATGAATGATCACGGTGACCCTGATCTAAACCTCCATAACCTAACACAGTCAAAACTTATTGGAAAGTAACTGCCTTTATTATACAGCATCACAAGCCAGCACTATCATAAACACTGCTCAAAGTCTATCAGTTCTTAACTACAACATCAGGTCCTTAAGCAAACACTATGATGACCTCCTGGCACTCCTTGAGTCGCTAAAGACACCCTTCTGCATTATTCTTACTGAGACCTGGCTTAAGCAGGACACAATAGATATCTACCCACTACCAGGATACACAGCAATCCACAACTGCAGACCATACCAAGTTGGGTGTGGTATTGCAATCTATTACTCTAACCAACTATCTTGTATTAGCACCACTTGATTTAGTTTTGAATATGGGGAATACATTTTTGCTAATTTTACTGTAAAGAACCTTAAGACGCCTACAACAATCGGTGCAATTTACCGGATACCCCACACAAACATCCCAAATTTCAGTGAGAATCTAAAGGCACTAATAACAAACAGACAAATGAACAAGCACCACCTTCTCTTAGCTGGAGACTTCAATATCAACCTTGGCCTACCAGACGATCAGCCTGTAACTGATTTCATCAACAATATGAACAACACACTTCTCATACCGACAATAACTAAACCATCCAGGCTGACTGAGACAAGTGCAACCATAATAGACCACATTTGGACCAATATACTAGCCTCCCTTAAATCAGGGATAATCACAGACAGCACTACAGACCACTACTCTACCTTCCTCTTAACAAACACTAGTAAGCCACCACTCAAATACAACAAAATTTCATTTAGACTCCGTGACGAGGCCTCAATAAGGAATTTCACAGCAGACCTAGAGACTGTTGACTGGCCTACAGAATTCTCCAGTGCCAATGGTATTGACGAATGGACAGACATTTTTCTTAACAAAATACTTAGACTATACAACAAACATTGTCCTATAAAAACGAAACAGATCACGAATAAATGGCTTGGTTGCCCATGGCTAATCAGCAACATTCTGAAATCCATTGATAAGAAACACCAATATGAAAAGCAATATAGACAGGGTTTAATACACAAAGATATTCTTAAACAATATTCATCAGTTCTCACCAAAGTAATAAAGAAAGCCAAACAACTTTACTACTCCAGCAGATTCACTGACATAAGAGGAGATATAAAAAAGACCTGGAAAACACTTTCCCAGATTCCGGGGACCCACAAACTGAAAAAAACCAAGAATATTGTCCTAACTAAACCTAATGAAACACCACTGCATCCCACTGATACAGCTAACAAGATAAACGACTTCTCAAACATAGGATCAAATCTCGCCAGTAAAATCCAATGTACCAACGCCAGTGCCGGGGTCTACCTAGATGGGAATTTTCCAAATTCCTTCTATCTTGTACCAACTGAGCCCACGGAGGTCACCACAGTTATAAAGTCACTCAAAAATAACTCAGGGAATCTGTCTCACATCCAACCATTATTGTACAAGCGAGCACTTTCCCAACACTACTCAAGACAGCAAGGGTTACACCAATACATAAAGGTGGTGACCCTACAGATGTAACAACTATAGGCCAATATCAAACTTACCATTGCTATCCAAAATCTTCGAGAAACTCACGCAGAGGAGACTATATTAATTTATAATGGCACAAAACATACTCAACCCCTGCCAATTTGGATTCAGGAAAAATAAAAGCACTAATGATGCAATTGTAAAAATGCTAGATCTGCTTTACACAGCATTGGAAAATAAGGAATATATGCTAGGAATTTTTGTTGACCTAAGAAAAGTGTTTGACACAGTAGACCACTGCATCCTACTCCACAAAATTGACCATTATGGTATAAGAGGCCATGCGCTTGCATATTTCAAATCCTACCTTACTAATAGGTATCAGTATATCACCATTAACCCTTTGTGGGTTTCGGACGTTCTAGTACATCTTACGACCCAGGGTTTTTGACGTACTAGTATGCCTAAATTGTAGTGCCCTCAAATCTAGTGAGAGAAAGCTGGTAGGCCTTCATTTGAAAGAATGGGTCTATGTGGTCAGTGTGCACAGTATAAAAAAAATCCTGCTGCACACAGTGCGTAATGAGAAAAAAAAAACTTTGACCATGTTATTGGATTAAAACAGCGACTTTGCACTGTATTTTCGTATGGTATTTATTGTTGTATTCAAGTTTTCTTGGTCTCATTTTATAGAATGGAAGACATATTACAGAAATTGCGATGATTTTGACTGGTTTTACAATGAAAAGTACCTTGAAATTGAGCTCAAAGTAGCAGAAATGTTCGATTTTTACCAAAGTTCAAAATTAAACAAATCATGTCAAGCGTCCAATACACATCAACTGGTGAGTCAAATATTTTTTCACAAGTGCACTGATATTATTTATACCATTCCTGCACTAATGCAGTATTCTGCATAACAGTAAATCTTATTTTTTTTATAAGAGTAAAAGTTCAAAGTGGAAAGCCTAAGAAATATAAGAGGGGCCTGGGGATGTGACTAACGAACAGAGAACTTGTTATTTTAGTGCTTGGAATGTCTTTCTTGTTTATTCTGGACCCTATTCAGAAATTGGCTTCTTTTGAAATTTGTGTGAAATTGGCAAAATTGCTAAATTCTGACCACTTTATTCGATAGTTGAAATCGGTAAATGGATAGTTTCTTGTACTCATTCGATATAAAAAATGGAGTTTTAGCAAAATAGTTATGATTTTTGCCAACTAGTACACTGAAATTGGCCGAAAATAGGGCTCAAAGTGGGCAAAATCGCCGATGCGTAAACATCGCCAAGACCACTAACTTCGCGAGAGCATAATTCCATAAGTTTTCCATCAAATTTCATACTTTTGGTGTCATTATGATTGGGAAAAGATACTATATCTTTTCATAAGAAAAAATAACTTTTTTTTTTTGAAATTTGGCCGACCCTGAGAACAAGTCTCTGAGAGGACCTGTCGACCCCCAAAGGGTTAATTAAAGACACAGCCTCATCAACACTGCCACTTGATACTGGAGTTCCGCAGGGAAGTGTCCTTGGTCCCCTGCTCTTCCTCATTTACATTAATGATCTTCCAAACGTATTCCAATGCCTGAAACCCATTCTCTTTGCTGACGACACGACTTACGTCATCTCCCACCCTAATCTTGCCACCCTCAACACTATTATCAACAAGGAGCTGCTCAAAATATTGACTTGGATGACAGCCAATAAACTTACACTTAACACTGACAAAACCTACTGCATTATGTTTGGTGTTGCACAACTTAACATTAAGATCGACAACACTCTAATTGCCAGACATAATGAGGGCAAATTCCTAGGTCTATACCTCGGCAACAACCTAAATTTCAGCACCCATATCCAACTCATAACAAAAAGTATCCAAAATGGTGGGGATCCTCTCCAAGATACCGTATTATGTGCCGCAAACTGCCCTTCTCACACTATACCATTCGCTCATTTATCCATACCTCACCTATGCTATTTGTGCTTGGGGATCAAATGCAACAACACACCTAAAGCCAATAATAACCCAACAAAAAGCCGCAGTAAGAATAATCACTTAATCCTATCCCTGGCAACACACTCCCCCACTCTTCATAGATCTAAACTTACTCCCTGCTCACTACATCCACACATACTACTGTGCAATCTATATCTACAGGACCTTAAATTCCAATATTAACCTTGACCTAAAATGCTTTTTTGATAGTTGTGACAGGATCCACAGGCATAACACCAAACACAAACATCTCTACGACATTCCCCGTGTGCGACTAAACCTTTACAAAAATTCAATGTGTGTCAAAGGCCCTAAAATCTAGAACACCCTACCTGAAAACTCTAGAACTGCAGACACATTCATCACTTTCAAAACTACAGTTAGAAAACATCTTATCTCCCTGATACACCCCGTCAACTAACTACATGAAAACCACCTAGTGGTTCACACTTACACTCACTCACCCATTGACTATAAACACAGAAATATGGATCTAAATCTTAAAATAATGAATCCTAACTAGTCATAAGTTTGCCTCTGATACTCCAATATAGACACTATGTATTGTGCCAAAACAAAAGCATTCAAATTGCTAAACTCACCAACTATAATATAGTCACTTAGCCTTAATACCATAATCATTAATAATTTAAAATTAAGAATTAATCTAAGTTTGCCCAAAATGCCTAGCCATGCTAGGTGGCCCTCTCTGTAATTAGTATTTTAAAACATGTAAACCACACAATATCCAAAATCTGTAAACCCAGCATTGTAATCCTTATAGAGAATAAACTTGATTGATAAAGTAACCTTTCCTCTGATCATTAATCATGTTCTCAGCCTCTCCTATATAACACTTGAAGGTGGCTTCACTGCTGCTCTTCAGGAAAATTGTGAAAAGTAAGTTATTTCCACTATTGTGAGACCTTCTTCATTCCACTTTCAGTCTTAAACTGACAAAACTCATCTAGTATGTCTAGTATGTCTTCTAGTCTGAGTCTGGGTCTGAGAAGCCAATAAAACCATGACAACTATCCTGGAAAATGCCTGGAAGTTACTATATTAACCCAGTCAGGTCAGAGATTAGTTGCACCCATCTTGCTCTTCCAGGAACAATACTGTTTTTATACACTGCACACCTACTGCACTGATCCATTCTCTCATGTCTAGGCCACAATTTACTGCTCACAGCATATCTGAGAGCACTGTGATTAAGATGTAGATCTACTTCTGTGACACTTATTCTACCTACATAGATCTACATGAGCAGCAGTGAAAGGGCTAATATTTGTCCACTATAATTTAAGTAATTATCTTTAACACAGGCAACATCACGTCCAGTTCTACTGACTGTTGACCAGAGGCAAAATCCACGTTGTCTCACTGTTTGATCAATAAGCACAACTAGCATCACGTCCAGTCCCTCTGTTTGAACACCGACAACAGGCAACATCACTCCAGTCCCACTGTTGACTACTGAAGAAATTCACATACCAGTCACAGCTCATCAGTGATGGTAAGAACAATTCACGTAACACTCACAGCTCATCAATGACAGTAAAGACAGACAATGGAAATAAGAAAGGACCCCAGTGAAAATAAGTAAAGGATCCCAATGGAAATAAGCAAAGGACCCCAATGGAAATAAGTAAAGGACCCCAATGGCAATAAGTCAAAGGACCCCAGTGGAAATAAGTCACATTTTCTGACTTTTTTTGGTTATCCCAGGTTTTCTACATGTTTACCTGGAGAGATTTCCGGGGGTCAATGCCCCCGCGGCCCGGTCTGTGACCAGGCCTTCTATGTGCTGCTATGTATGATAATCTATGTAACTGTATTTGTGTATACCTGAATGAACTAACTTACTGTGGTTTTCTCATCTAGGTAAGTCTCTTGCTCTTTGGACGTCACTTTTGCTCATAATAGATTATCTAGTATACTGATTATCTATTTGTAAGATCATTGTCAGAAATAATTAGTTTATATATATATACTGGTTCATTTGAACTCCTAGTTTCCATTAGTGTTTCATCATTAATTTCACTCCAGTGTTGAACATCTGAACACACATACCAGGGAACTCCTGAGATTGAAAGGTTTATATTAAACCAAAAGACAACAGAACCAACTTGAAGTGAAAATGAACTAAATTTTATCTTAACAGATAATGAGGAATAAATTGGAAACATAACAATATTAAGTACAAGAAACTGATCATTGACATTCAAGTAAAATAAATTCATATTTAGACAATATAAGAGATAACCAATGGAAAAGATGTTCATCAAATTTACTATCATTAATCCAAGGACAGACTATTAAATGTTCCCTGGGAAACCATCTTGAACACACTTAATCCCAAATAATTTATGAAAAGTCAGTTGCAACCTGGAGTTTACCTGGCTTTAATTTTGGAGGTCACCTCCCATTGGTTTGGTCTTACTATAACATGGAGTAAAATAATTAGTAAAATCTGCTTTTTTGTTTCACTCTGAAACTAAGTCTTAAAACATGGGGTAATTATATTAATAACTAATGTGGTCATGGGCAGCCAGCTCTTTGTGCTGTATCAGTATTCCTCAGACAATTTTTTGTAATACTCTACAAATTTCTACTAATTTTATTCTTTACCCTCATCTTGAAGGTCAAGGAATGTGTATTTGTAGTACAGTGTTAAGTTATGATACAGTACTGTTTTCTGTTCTAGGTTAAGATGTTAAAGTGTAATTACAGTCATGTTAGTTATGATACAGTAGTGTGGTCAGTGCTTGGTTAAAATGTTAATTAACACAGATTTGAAACACATTATTAATTTAATTTAGATATGATATAAGAAAGAAGGTTTCATTGAAACTTGTTTATAAAACTGAGGTCTAAAATATGCAGCTTCCATCACTGGTTTATTCTTGTTTTAATCATGTATGAATTGCCATCATCAGTCATTAGCATTATCTACAGTCAGTCAGGGCTGCCTGACATTAAAACTATTTATTAAACACTTTGGCATTGTAGTCCATGTTAATGCTGACAAGTCGATGTTTACACTCTGGTATGAGGTACAGTGTGAGTGAGTAGTTTATGACAACTGTTAAACATACCACAGGTGGGGCTTGAACTCATGGTTAGAGAGCTGTAAAATTCCAGACTGACCTGTTGCCCGGGTTTAATACTGTTGATTGTTTACACTCTAGCATGAGGTACAGTGGAAGTGAATGTAGTTTTAGAATTATTGCCTGGGTTTAATACTGTACTGTTAATTGACTCTTACACAGCAACTGTTGTATAAATAATTTTCATCCCTCATTTATATAAATAAAAACAGAACAATAAATTTCATGCAATATATGATTTACAAAATATTAACAATAATGTAATAAGTGAGGGCAGTAAGAAACTCTCAGGACTGTCATAACAGTAAGAAACTCTCAGGGCTGTCATAACAGTAAGAAACTCTCAGGGCTGTCATAACAGTAAGAAACTCTCAGGGCTGTCATAACAGTAAGAAACTCTCAGGGCTGTCATAACAGTAAGAAACTCTCAGGACTGTCATAACAGTAAGAATCTCGACTGTCATAACAGTAAGAAACTCTCAGGACTGTCATAACAGTAAGAAACTCTCAGGACTGTCATAACAGTAAGAAACTCTCAGGACTGTCATAACAGTAAGAAACTCTCAGGACTGTCATAACAGTAAGAAACTCTCAGGACTGTCATAACAGTAAGAAACTCTCAGGACTGTCATAACAGTAAGAAACTCTCAGGACTGTCATAACATAAAAACCTCAGACTGTCATAACAGTAAAAACTCTCAGGACTGTCATAACAGTAAGAAACTCTCAGGACTGTCATAACAGTAAGAAACTCTCAGGACTGTCATAACAGTAAGACACTCTCAGGACTGTCATAACAGTAAGACACTCTCAGGACTGTCATAACAGTAAGAAACTCTCAGGACTGTCATAACAGTAAGAAACTCTCAGGACTGTCATAACAGTAAGAAACTCTCAGGACTGTCATAACAGTAAGAAACTCTCAGGACTGTCATAACAGTAAGAAACTCTCAGGACTGTCATAACAGTAAGAAACTCTCAGGACTGTCATAACAGTAAGAAACTCTCAGGACTGTCATAACAGTAAGAAACTCTCAGGACTGTCATAACAGTAAGAAACTCTCAGGACTGTCATAACAGTAAGAAACTCTCAGGACTGTCATAAACAGTAAGAAACTCTCAGGACTGTCATAACAGTAAGAAACTCTTAGGACTGTCATAACAGTAAGAAACTCTCAGGACTGTCATAACAGTAAGAAACTCTCAGGACTGTCATAACAGTAAGAAACTCTCAGGACTGTCATAACAGTAAGAAACTCTCAGGACTGTCATAACAGTAAGAAACTCTCAGGACTGTCATAACAGTAAGAAACTCTCAGGACTGTCATAACAGTAAGAAACTCTCAGGACTGTCATAACAGTAAGAAACTCTCAGGACTGTCATAACAGTAAGAAACTCTCAGGACTGTCATAACAGTAAGACACTCTCAGGACTGTCCATAACAGTAAGAAACTCTCAGGACTGTCATAACAGTAAGAAACTCTCAGACTGTCATAACAGTAAGAAACTCTCAGGACTGTCATAACAGTAAGAAACTCTCAGGACTGTCATAACAGTAAGACACTCTCAGGACTGTCATAACAGTAAGAAACTCTCAGGACTGTCATAACAGTAAGAAACTCTCAGGACTGTCATAACAGTAAGAAACTCTCAGGACTGTTTACCTGGAGTTTACCTGGAGAGAGTTTCGGGGGTCAACGCCCCCGCGGCCCGGTCTGTGACCAGGCCTCCTGGTGGATCAGCGCCTGATCAACCAGGCTGTTGCTGCTGGCTGCACGCAAACCAACGTACGAGCCACAGCCCGGCTGATCAGGAACTGTCTTTAGGTGCTTGTCCAGTGCCAGCTTGAAGACTGCCAGGGGTCTGTTGGTAATCCCCCTTATGTGTGCTGGGAGGCAGTTGAACAGTCTCGGGCCCCTGACACTTATTGTATGGTCTCTTAACGTGCTAGTGACACCCCTGCTTTTCATTGGGGGGATGGTGCATCGTCTGCCAAGTCTTTTGCTTTCGTAGTGAGTGATTTTCGTGTGCAAGTTTGGTACTAGTCCCTCTAGGATTTTCCAGGTGTATATAATCATGTATCTCTCCCTCCTGCGTTCCAGGGAATACAGGTTTAGAAACCTCAAGCGCTCCCAGTAATTGAGGTGTTTTATCTCCGTTATGCGCGCCGTGAAAGTTCTCTGTACATTTTCTAGGTCGGCAATTTCACCTGCCTTGAAAGGTGCTGTTAGAGTGCAGCAATATTCCAGCCTAGATAGAACAAGTGACCTGAAGAGTGTCATCATGGGCTTGGCCTCCCTAGTTTTGAAGGTTCTCATTATCCATCCTGTCATTTTTCTAGCAGATGCGATTGATACAATGTTATGGTCCTTGAAGGTGAGATCCTCCGACATAATCACTCCTAGGTCTTTGACGTTGGTGTTTCGCTCTATTTTGTGGCCAGAATTTGTTTTGTACTCTGATGAAGATTTAATTTCCTCATGTTTACCATATCTGAGTAATTGAAATTTCTCATCGTTGAACTTCATATTGTTTTCTGCAGCCCACTGAAAGATTTGGTTGATGTCCGCCTGGAGCCTTGCAGTGTCTGCAATGGAAGACACTGTCATGCAGATTCGGGTGTCATCTGCAAAGGAAGACACGGTGCTGTGGCTGACATCCTTGTCTATGTCGGATATGAGGATGAGGAACAAGATGGGAGCTAGTACTGTGCCTTGTGGGACAGAGCTTTTCACCGTAGCTGCCTCGGACTTTACTCTGTTGACGACTACTCTCTGTGTTCTGTTAGTGAGGAAATTATAGATCCATCGACCGACTTTTCCTGTTATTCCTTTAGCGCGCATTTTGTGCGCTATTACGCCATGGTCACACTTGTCGAAGGCTTTTGCAAAGTCTGTATATATTACATCTGCATTCTTTTTGTCTTCTAGTGCATTTAGGACCTTGTCGTAGTGATCCAGTAGTTGAGACAGACAGGAGCGACCTGTTCTAAACCCATGTTGCCCTGGGTTGTGTAACTGATGGGTTTCTAGATGGGTGGTGATCTTGCTTCTTAGGACCCTTTCAAAGATTTTTTATGATATGGGATGTTAGTGCTATTGGTCTGTAGTTCTTTGCTGTTGCTTTACTGCCCCCTTTGTGGAGTGGGGCTATGTCTGTTGTTTTTAGTAACTGAGGGACGACCCCCGTGTCCATGCTCCCTCTCCATAGGATGGAAAAGGCTCGTGATAGGGGCTTCTTGCAGTTCTTGATGAACACAGAGTTCCATGAGTCTGGCCCTGGGGCAGAGTGCATGGGCATGTCATTTATCGCCTGTTCGAAGTCATTTGGCGTCAGGATAACATCGGATAGGCTTGTGTTAGTCAAATTTTGTGGCTCTCTCATAAAAAATTCATTTTGGTCTTCGACTCTCAGTCTGGTTAGCGGCTTGCTAAAAACTGAGTCATATTGGGACTTGAGTAGCTCACTCATTTCCTTGCTGTCATCTGTGTAGGACCCATCTTGTTTAAGTAGGGGCCCAATACTGGACGTTGTTCTCGATTTTGATTTGGCATAGGAGAAGAAATACTTTGGGTTTCTTTCGATTTCATTTATGGCTTTTAGTTCTTCCCGCGATTCCTGACTCCTAAAGGATTCTTTTAGCTTAAGTTCGATGCTTGCTATTTCTCTGACCAGTGTCTCCCTGCGCATTTCAGATATATTGACCTCTTTTAGCCGCTCTGTTATTCTTTTCCGTCGCCTGTAAAGGGAGCGCCTGTCTCTTTCTATTTTACATCTACTCCTCCTTTTTCTTAGAGGAATAAGCCTTGTGCATACATCGAGTGCCACCGAGTTAATCTGTTCTAGGCATAAGTTTGGGTCTGTGTTGCTTAGTATATCTTCCCAGCTTATATCGGTTAGGACTTGGTTTACTTGGTCCCACTTTATGTTTTTGTTATTGAAGTTGAATTTGGTGAATGCTCCCTCATGACTAGTCTCATTTTGTCGGTCTGGGGCTCCATGCATACATGTCTGAACCTCAATTATGTTGTGATCTGAGTATAATTGTTTTTGATATGGTGACATTTCTTATCAATCATCATTGTTAGTGAAGATGAGTCTAGTGTATTCTCCAGTCTTGTAGGCTCTATTATTTGCTGGTTTAAATTGAATTTTGTGCAGAGATTTAAAAGCTCGTGTGAGTGTGAGTTTTCATCAACGCCTCCGTTTATTTCTGCAACAATATTATTTGCATATTCCTCCATTTTAGGTGCCTTAAGTTGAAATCCCCCAGGAGCAAGATGTTGGGTCAGGACTGAAGATTTTCCAGACAGTGGTCAATTTTTAACAGCTGTTCCTGGAATTGCTGGATGTTGCATTCCGAGGCTTGTAGACTACCACAATGACTAGTTTGGTTCTCGACCTTTACTGCTAAAACTCCACTACGTCATTTGAGGCATTAAGCATTCTGTGCAACAAGTGACTCTGCATGTACAGGCCAACCCCCCCCTTTTGCCTGTTCACTCTGTCACATCTGTATAGGTTGTAACCTGGGATCCATACTTCGTGTCCAAGTGATCCTTTATGTGGGTCTCAGTGAAAGCCGCGAACATTGCTTTGCCTCTGCAAGCATGCCCGGATAAAGGTATTTTGTTGTTTGTAGCTGGCTTTAGACCCTGTATATTTGGCAAAGAAGATGTTATCGGACTGGTGGGTATTGTTGGTACTGGGGGGATTTTTTTTCCGGCATAGTATCTGTATCTGTTGGTTTGGAGTGGCGGCCACGACTGTGTTCCACTCCAGGAATGACTGATTTGGTGTACGATTTCTGCCATTTCCTGCCAGTTTTTTTTCCTTCCTGGCACTAAAAAACCTCTCCCTCTTGAGTGGCTGTGGCTACCCAGGTTTCCCCTGCCTGGATGTTTGTATCTTTTTGTGTCCCTTTAGATGGATGCCTGGCATTTAAGTTATAGCACAGTCTTCCTGTACTGAAGAGGACACATTTCAGGTGAAAAAGCTTACAGGAAGGAGTTTGCATTTTCCGTTTTCATATGGGCATGGCATTTTCTGGGTTGGTCAAGTTGCATGTCCCATCTGTTTTTCCAGATTTCCCATGCCAGCAGATACCAAGTGCATAGTATGTTGCACAGTTTGGTTTCCGCTTGCCTTGGTTTCCTGTGACTGTATTACCCCTTTTTGTGCATGTTTCCCTTCTTACTTCTATCCTCCCTAGCACCAACAATGAGCTCCCACCAGTTGTTTTTGGTAATTTTATCCTCACTATTGCTATTGAGTCCCTTTTGCTATTCCTGCGGTATTTCTAGTTTGCAATATTGGTTTTATCTTATCTTTGACTACACTTGTTTCCCTACTATGGCTCCTGTCCCCTATGAGGTCATTTATATGTATTCCTTCCTGCGTATAATTCCCGACTCCCTGGACAATATCTCCAGCTTCACCATTTCTGTCTCCCAGGACAGTATCTCCAGCTTCACCATTTCTGTCTCCCAGGACAGCACCTCCAGCTTCACCATTACTGTCTCCCAGGACAGTATCTCCAGCTTCACCATTTCTGTCTCCCAGGACAGCAAGAAACTCTCAGGACTGTCATAACAGTAAGAAACTCTCAGGACTGTCATAACAGTAAGAAACTCTCAGGACTGTCATAACAGAAAAAAATCTCAGGACTGTCATAACAGTAAGAAACTCTCAGGACTGTCATAACAGTAAGACACTCTCAGGACTGTCATAACAGTAAGAAACTCTCAGGACTGTCATAACAGTAAGAAACTCTCAGGACTGTCATAACAGTAAGAAACTCTCAGGACTGTCATAACAGTAAGAAACTCTCAGGACTGTCATAACAGTAAGACACTCTCAGGACTGTCATAACAGTAACCAAAGAGCTGGAGAGACCACCATAAAAACTAACTTAACATGTCACTAGTCTCTCTCATGTGTTTCCCAGACCACATTATTATTAATATAATCATGTGGGAGCGATAAGCCTGTAGGGATTATATAACGCTTGTAGGGGGGTGATGGAAGGTATTCAAGGTCATTTCAGGGAACTGGTGCATAGATCCAATTTCCTAGATCAAGAGCCCCTCACCAGCATCAAGGAACCAGATAAAAATTCAGGAGTCCAGCTTAGGTTTATTATTAAAGAAAAATGTTTATTAATTTGTACATGCTTGTCTCTTCTATTAAAATTTTGCCTTACCAGTTTTAAAATGATCCTTTGTCTTACTGTACTGTGTAAAGTAACTGTATATGTAACTTTCTTTTTATGAAATATTCTGTTGGTTAAGTAATGATAAATTGCTACAATAATAATTCAAAGGTTTTAATGTATATTTTAGAAAAAGTTACTCTTGACAGGCTAGCAGCAAGCCAGAAGAGTGTACAGTGTGTTTCAACAATTATGATGATCTACGACGGCCACAATCACTGCCGTGTGGCCACACATTCTGCTCACAATGTATTGAAGATACAATAAAGAATGTTCAACTCATCTGTCCCAGCTGCCGTACCGAGCACAGTGCCACAGCTGCTACTCAGTTCCCGATCAATTATGGTCTGGAGGAATTAATAAAGAATATTAAAAGTATGCAGCTCCCATCAGTGGGAGCAGTGTCTGTAAAACCTGGCCAAGACCGTACAAGAGGCATCAGTAAGAAGTTACGGTCTGTGGTACAGGAGCATAAGAGCAGTATCAGTAACCTTATAAGTGAGTGTGAAGAAGTACTCTCCCAGCTGGGCAAGTACCAGGGTCAGGTGAGAGGCTGGAAGACTCAGCATCACCAACTGCAGGACAAACTCTTTGATCTGGTGAAGCAGAACAAGGCAGCACTAAAGCTCCTGGAACAGGAAGATACCAGTGTGGTGAATATGACAACGGAAGGAGAGGCAGGAAAGAAGCAGCTGCAGATCATGCTGGAGTGTCTTGACACAGTCAACACTGCACAGGAGGTTGTCACAACCATTAATGAAGCTGATCAGTACAATGTGGAGGCTGAAGATTGGATCCAGAAGTGTCAGGAACTTTTCCCAGACATCAATACCGTCTGCACCTCAGTCAAGGTACATTTCTGCAGGTCACTATTCTCACTGAACTGAAAATAGCAATTGTGCTTCATAAATAATATAGTTACTAAAACACTAGACCAATTATATTTAAGCTTTTCTTTTTTTAAATGTTTATATTTATTAATTATATTATTTATCCATTCCAGTTGGTTGTGTTTTAAATATTGATCTTATTATAATAATGAAAAAGGGTAAAGCAGCTGGAACTGACAGGGTGGGGGCAAATAGTGTTGGAGTGGTTGGTATTTTTGGTCAATAAATGAATGAAAGAAGGGAAGGTACCTGGGGATTGGCAGAGAGCGTGTATAAAGGAACTCCTTTACATGAAGGGAAGGGGGACAAAAGAGATTAAAAATTATAGGGGAATAAGTTTACTGAGTATGCAAAGTAAAGTGTATAGTATGGTTATTATCGAAAGATTTAGTGGTAAGCTGGATTGCAGAATGGGTAAGGGATGTGTTGATCAAGTGTTTACATTGAAGCATATATGTGAACAGTATTTAGATGAAGGTAGGGAAGTTTTCAGTATATTTATGGATTTAGAAAAGGCATATGACAGAATGGATAGGGTAGCAATGTGGCAGATGTTGCAAGTGTATGGAATAGATAGTAAGTTATTAAATGCTGTAAAGAGTTTTTATGAGGATAGTAAGGCTCTGGTTTGGGTGTGTAAGAGGGAGGGAGATTACTTACTGGTAAAAGTAGGTCTTAGACAGGGATGTGTAATGTCACCATGGTTGTTTAATATATAGATGGGGTTGCCAAAGAAGTAAATGCTAGGGTGTTGGGGAGAGGGATGGGATTAAATTATGGGGAATCAAATACAAAATGGGAGTTGGCACAGTTACTTTTTGCTGATGATACTGAGCTTCTGGGAGATTCAAAAGAAAAGTTGCAAAGATTAGTGGACGAGTTTGGGAGGTTGTGTAAAGGAAGAAAGCTGAAAGTGAACATAGATAAGAAGGTGATGGGGGTATCAAATGATTTAGATAAATAAAAATTGGATATCACATTGGAGGAAGGGAGTATGAAAGAAGTGAATGTGTTCAGATATATGGGAATTGATTTGTCAGCAGATGGGTTTTTGGAGGATGAAGTTAACCATAGAATTGATGAAAGAAAAAAGGCGAGTGGTGCTTTGAGGTGTCTGTAGAGAGAGAAATCATTATCCATGGAAGCAAAGAAGGGAATGTTCGAAAGTATAGTGGTACCAACACCTTTAAATAGGTGTGAAGCGTGGGTTGTAAATTTCGCAGCAAGGAGGAGGCTGGAGACAGTGGAGATGTCTGGTCTAAGGCCAATATGTGGTGTAAATATTATGCGGAGAATTCGTAGTGTGAAAATTAGGAGGTATGGAGTTACAAAATGTATTAGTCAAAGGGCTGAAGAGTGGTTTTTAGGGTGCTATGGTCATTTAGAGAGGATGGAACAAAGTAGAATGACTTGGAGAGTGTACAAATCTATATTGGAAGGAAGGCAGGGTAGGGGTAATCCTAGGAAAGGTTGGAGGGAAAGGGTAAAGGAGGTTTTGTGGGCAAGGGGCTTGGACTTTCAGCAAGAATGTGTGAGCATGTTAGATAGGAGTGAGTGGAGATGAATGGTTTTTGGGACCTGATGAGCTGTTGGAGTGTAAGCAGGGTAATATTTTGTGAAGGAATTCAGGGAAACTGGTTAGCAGGGCTTAAGTCCTGGAGGTGGGAATTACAGTGGACCCCCGACATTTGATAAATCCGACATTCGATACATTTTAACGCAAAAATTTTGCCTTGACATTCGATGGAAAACCCGCTATTTGATACGATTCGTACGAGACGTGTCCACGTGCGGCCTGAACTGCCCCGTGTGTGCCAGTGTTTACAAGCCAGCCAGTGTGTGCGCATCTAAGGATACACTCGGTACATTCCATATTATCCATATTATCACTGTTTTTGGTGCTTGTTTCTGCAAAATAAGTAACCATGGGCCCCAAGAAAGCTTCTAGTGCCAACCCTTCGAGTAAAAAGGTGCTAATGACTATTGAAATGAAGAAAGAGATAATTGCAAAGTACAAAAGTGGAGTGCGTTTGTCTGAGCTGGCCAGGTTGTATAGTAAACCCCAATCAACCATCTATACTATAGTGAGCAGGAAAATGGCAATCAAGGAAGCTGTTCTTGCAAAAGGTGCAACTTTGTTTTTGAAACAGAGATCGCTAGTGTTAGAAGATGTTGAGAGACTGTTATTGGTGTGGATAAATGAAAAACAGATAGCAGGAGATAGCATCTCTCAAGCGATCATTTGTGAAAAGGCTAGGAAGTTGCATGATGATTTGGTAAAGAAACTGCCTGCAACTAGTGGTGATGTGAGTGAATTTAAGGCCAGCAAAGGTTGGTTTGAAAGATTTAAGAATCGTAGTGGCATACACAGTGTGGTAAGGCATGGTGAGGCTGCTGGTTCAGACCACAAAGCGGCTGAAAAATATGTGCATGAATTCAAGGAGTACATAGAGGCTGAAGGATTGAAACCTGAACAAGTGTTTAATTGTGATGAAACAGGCCTGTTTTGGAAGAAATTGCCAAGCAGGACCTACATTACTCAGGAGGAAAAGGCACTCCCAGGTCATTAGTCTATGAAAGATAGGCTTACTCCTTTGATGTGTGCCAATGCTAGTGGTGATTGCAAAGTGAAGCCTTTATTGGTGTATCACTCAGAAACTCCCAGAGCACTCAGGCAAAAGAATATCCTCAAGGCTAATTTGTGTGTGCTGTGGAGGGCAAACAGTAAGGCATTGGTCACTAGGGACTTTTTCTATGACTGGTTACACCATGCATTTGCCCCCACTGTGAAAAATTACCTAATTGAAAAGAAATTAGACCTTAAGTGCCTCCTGGTATTAGACAATGCTCCTGGTCATCCTTCAGATGTGGCAGAGCGACTTTCTGTGGACATGAGCTTCATTAAGGTGAAGTTTTTGCCTCCTAATACCACTCCTCTCCTGCAGCCCATGGACCAGCAGGTTATTTCCTACTTCAAGAAACTGTACACAAAAGCTATGTTTCAAAAGTGCTTTGTAGTGACCACAGAAACTCAACTGACTCTGAAAGTGTTTTGGAAGGATCACTTTAATATCCTCGGTTGTATAAACCTTATAGATAAGGCTTGGGAGGAAGTGACTAAGAGGACCTTGAACTCTGCTTTGAAAAAACTGTGGCCAGAATGTGTAGACAAATGGGATTTTGAAGGGTTTGAGGCTATTCCTGAGAATCCTATGCCAGTTGAGGAATCCATTGTCACATTGGCAGGATATTGCAGCACTAAATGAATTCCAAAGGGTGAGGAACAGAGTACAGAGACTTATAAAAGGAGCAAAGGCAAAGCACTACTGCTCAAAAATTGAAGAGTATAAGCATAACCCCAGAAAGCTCTGGCAACAACTAAAACAGTTGGGGTATAGCCATAAACCAGTAGATAGGTCTAACATAGTACTCACTATCGATAATGAGGTATGCCACGAAACATCTAAGGTGGCAAATTGCTTTAATTCCTACTACACATCTGTTGCATCAACACTAGTAAGTAAACTACCAGCTGTATCAAATACCTTTAACACAGACTCTGATAAGTTTCAAACATACTATACCAATAAAGGGGTAACCCCAAACAGTTGTCAACTAATAAAGTTGGTAGAATTACCGACAATATGTAAAGTAAAAGGACACAAGTGCAACTAATGTGACATTTAGTTGCACATTAGTTGCACTTGTGTCCTTTTACTTTACAAGTTGTCAACTAGTAAGTGTATCTCATGACTTTATTCAAAAAGAACTAAGCAGGTTAAACCCAACTAAGAGCACAGGCCCTGATAACATCCCGTCTAAGTTCCTAAAAGATGGTGCTTCTGAACTGTCAATCCATATTGCTCACATAATAAATCTATCAATCACCCCTAATACCGTACCGGAGGGGTTCAAGGAGGCCAGAGTTACTCCTATCTTCAAGAAAAACAGTAGATCTGATGTAAGCAACTATAGGCCTGTTAGTATACTCAGTATAATATCTAAAATTCTAGAGAGGGCGGTGTATTCTCAAGTAGTTAAGTACCTTAATGACAACAACATTCTCCATAGCTATCAGTCGGGCTTTAGAAGATCCTAATCAACCGACACCTCCCTTATTAATCTGATGGATTACCTGAGAACTGAAATGTCAAAGGGGAACCTCATAGATATGGTAACCTTAGACCTGCAAAAGGCCTTCGATACTGTCAACCACAATATATTATGTAATAAACTTCAAGCTATCGGTATAGGTTCTGTAGACTGGTTTAAGTCCTACCTTAGCAACAGGAGACAAATAGTCAAAATCAACAAAACAGAATCAAAACCCCTGCCGATAACATGTGGAGTTCCCCAAGGTAGTATTCTGGGTCCCTTATTATTCTTATGTTATGTCAATGATATGCCTATCAGTGTCAAGTGCAAACTCCTACTGTATGCAGATGACAGTGCTCTGTTAGTGTCAGGTAAAGACCCACAAGATATTGCTAATGTTTTAACACTGGAACTGGAGTCCTGCAGCAAATGGTTAGTAGACAACAAACTATCATTACACCTAGGGAAAACTGAAGCCATTCTCTTTGGCATGAAACATAAACTGAGAAGGGTAAATAATTTTAATGTTCAATGTAATGGGGAGCCCATCACTTTGGTTTCATCAGTAAAATATTTGGGAATCCCCTTTGACCCATGCATGTCAGGAGAATTGATAGGGAACAGTGTAGTAAAGAAAGCGAATGCCAGACTGAAGTTCCTGTATAGACAAGCACAGTGTCTACCTACTGAGGCTCGCAGGACCCTATGTCTAGCCCTTATACAGTGCCATATGGATTACGCTTGCTCTTCTTGGTACTCTGCCTTGACAAAAAAACTGAAAGATAGACTGCAAATCACCCAGAACAAAATCGTAAGATTCATCCTGGGGCTGGGACCAAGAGAACATGTAGGCCAGGATGAATTAC